TTTAAATTATCAGCCAATTGTTGTTGGTTGTTTGTTTAATGTTTTTGTAAATTAATTAATTAATTTATCATTTATTCAGGTTATTACATGTAACCATAAAATACTTTTTTAGCTGAATATATATATATATATATATATATATATATATATATATATATATATATATATATATATATATATATATATATGAATGTTTATAAAACAATTATAGGAATTTTGATATAGTATTAACTTTAAAAACTGATTAATAAAAATGTAAATTAACAAACTAAAATAGTTTCAAGAGTTCACACTTAGATATTGCTTGATAATAATAGCAGGTTTGGCTTGCTGTCCCGGGAGAGAATCCTAAGCTAGGAGATAATTTAGCCCAGGGCTCCCCTCCTGGTCAATGAGCATGTAAGTGGGTCTGAGATCAGGACAATCTCGAGAGCTCCCCCTGGTAAATAAGGAAAGGAGGAGATGGGGTGGATGGGGGGATTCTTCAAAAGACGAAGATGAGGGAGAAAGATTAGTCGGACTATTTATAGTGAGTTTGGAACAATCCAATTGCCTTACTAATGATTACAGATGAGAGACCAGCCGCGATCAATCATATCACGGGCTCCTCTCCAAATGAGTTTGTGAAACTTCATTTTATAAAACTAATAAAAAAGACAACAACACAACAAAAAGCCTTAAACGTAATCAAAATAAAACATTTCTAAAATGTCAACTATTCATACTGTAATCATACTCAAGTTGTTAATAAAAACTACAAATTCCCTCAATCTCAATCGTACTAAAACAACACTGGTTTCATATTTACATGTCAGTAATCAGCACAATTTGGAGCCTCGGCTGGGTCAGTTGGCATTTCTGTGTGGAGTTTGTATGTTCTCCCTGTGTTCGTGGGATTCCTCCGGGTGCTCTGGTTTCCCCCACAGTCCAAAGACATGTGCTATAGGTGAATAGGGTAAGTTAAATTGGCCTTAGTTTTTTTTATGTAAATGAGAGTATATGGGTGTTTCCCAGTGATGGGTTGCAGCTGGAAGGGCATCCGCTGCGTAAAACATATGCTGGATAGGTTGGCGGCTCATTCTGCTATGGCAACCCAGCCTGATCTCACAAGAAAACGTAAGTATTTTACGTTTTGGCAGTTTAGTGGCAAGTTCAGTCGTAAGAAAATGTACGATTTTAAAAAGGAGGCGTGGCACCTAACCCCACCCCTAAACCCAACCGTTATTGGGGGAAACGCAAATCGTACTAAAATGTATGAATTAGATCGTACGAATTTGTACGAATTAGCCACTAAATGAAAAACTTACGAATTGCCGTGAGATTGTGTTGGGCAACCCCAGATTAATAAAGGGACTAAGCCGAAAAGAAAATGAATGAATGAATGAATGAATGAATGAATGAATAAGGGCGTCACGGTGGTGCAGTGGGTAGCACCATCACCTCACAGCAAGAAGGTTGCTGGTTCGAGCCCCGGCTGAGTCAGATGGCATGTCTGTGTGGAGTCTGCATGTTCTCCCCATGTTGGCATGGGTTTACCCCACAGTCGAAAGACCTGTGCTATAGGTGAATTGGGTAAGCTAAATTGGCTGTAGTGTAAGTGTGTGAATGCAAGAGTGTATGGGTGTTTCTCAGTGTTGGGTTGCAGCTGGAAGGGCAATCGCTGTGTAAAACATATGCTGGATAAGTTGCAGGTTCATTCCACTGTGGCGACCCCTGATTAATAAAGGGACTGAGCTGAAAACAAAATGAATAACTGAATGATCGACAAAAAGAACAAAAGATTCAATTCCTCCAACAGTTGTATCGACACACTTGTGAAAAACAGATGCATACATTACTGTATATAGAATACATTTTAAATCAAGCCTCGACATTACCAGGAATTACCTTTACTGACTCGCTCTGATCCCTCGGTTTAATCCACCTATGATAAAAGATCTGGTATTAATTATGATACATGTACACATCTTTATCACACTGTCGCATCACCCAAAACCACCCACTTTTCTTGTTTCCATGGTAACATAAGTTAAAGAAGAGCAAGCTAATAAACAAGACGCTGCTTTATTACGAACAAGAAAAGAGAAGGAAACCCCAGGAACAAACATACATTACTTTAAATTAAATCTCTCATGGCATATTTGAAAAGTTATAAATTGAAGTATCTGCATCTAGAGACTCGTCAGAGCATTCAAATGAGCAAATAAAACACTACTGTACTGTAGTATTAGATCTGTTTTGCATTGCAGTCGATGCTTTTATATACTGCAATTAAGGTAAACTCGCTAGTGACTCATTTAGAAAACTGATTTCGCAATCAAACTGCATTTTAGAGAAGCTCATTCATTCCTATTCCTTCAGCTTAGGCCCTTATTTATCAGGGGTCACCACAGCGGAATGAACCACCAACTATTCCAGCCACGATTTATCCAGTTCACTTATACAGCATGTCTATTGAACTGTGGGGAAAACCGGAGCACCCGAAGCACACGGGGGGGACCATGCAAACTCCACACAGAAATGCCAACTGGCCGAGCTAGGACTTGAACCAGCGACCTTCTTGCTGTGAGGCAACATTGCTAGCCACTGAGCCACCGTGCCGCCCCAGAAACTTATGTTACATTTTATAAATAGGTGCCGGCTAAGATAAGCATCAGTATTGCGATCACTCATTTTTCCAAACCCTTAACCTTTCAATTTGGCATGTACAATAACTCGTCCTCCGCCATATGAGCTACAGTTGGAAATTAAAGCAAATCGTGCCGCTTATTGAGGCCATGTGGGCTGTTAATCTGTAAAATAGACTTACAAATACTGTGAGTGATGATTGATGAACATATAAAAAAAAATCCTCATACCTACACTGAATGATGAAGTAATATTAGGGCAGGACTGGTAAGCCAACACAAAGAATCAATCCATGATGAAGGCTTATATTTCCTGAGAAAATATCAAATCTAATTAATAAACTTGTTCATATTTTTTTCATTTGTTTGTTCATTCATTTTCCTTCAGCTTAGTGTCTTCATTCATCAGGTGTCGCCACAGTGGAATGAACCACCAACTTATCCTGTGTTTTACACAGCGGATGGCCTACCAGCTACAAACAAGTACTGGGAAACACCCATACACACTGATTCACACACACACACTCATACACGAGGGCCACTTTAGTTTATTCAATTGACCTATAGCACATGTCTTTGGACTTGTGGGGGAAACCAGAGCACCTGGAGGAAAACCCCACAAGAACACAGGGAGAACATGCAGACTCCACACAGAAATACCAACTGACCTAGCCTGGACTCGAACCAGCAACCTTCTTGCTGTAAGGCGACTTTGCTACCCACTGTGCCACCGCATCGCCCTATTTAAGTCCCTGCTGGGTCAGTTGGCATTTCTGTGTGGAGTTTGCATGTTCTCCCCGTGTTGGTGTGGGTTTCCTTCGGGTGCACCGGTTTCCCCCACAGTCCAAAGACGTGCGCTATAGGTAAATTGAATAAGCTAAAGTTGTCCATAGTGTATGAGTGTGTGCATGAATTAGTGTGTTTGGGTGTTTCCTAGTGATGGGTTGCAGCTGGAAGGGCATACACTGTGTAAAACACAGGATAAGTTGGAGGTTCATTCCACTGTGGTGACCACAGATCAGGGACTAAGGAACTAAGCCAAAAAGAAAATGAATGACTGAATGAATAAATGCAAACTTTTATTTTGGATGCCAACTGACAGCAATACTTTTAAAATGCATTTAAATACCTTACTGACAAATTAGTAAAACCTAGTGGTTTGAAGGACACTGTGGCAAAGAATAACGGGTTAGATGACAATTAACGAGTATTTGGGAGCTAAATTTATTCCCGTATAAACTGCTGTTACACTAAATTACACCATGTCTTCTATAAATCATGTTAAAATTGTATCATAGTCATTAATATTTTCACAGATAAAAAACTATTACACTTTTACTACACCTCCACACTCTCCTCATAACTTAAACTCCCCATAAACACTGCATTATTAATTTATTATTTGTACAATTAAAGTTGCTAATATTAATAGCTCTACTTTCCAATAGTTCATCTTGAAATTTACATACCCACTGTACATATGCATTTGTAATTATGTTCATATCTATCTGCATACCTCTGATTAGCAACCTGTACATATATTCATCAATTGTAAATCTCCATTCACAGTTAATGCAACCTGTATATAATGTTCACAGTACATCCATTTCTAAATATCACCATAGTTTTTCTATAATTACAGCCATTGCACTTCTGGTTAGACCTTAACTGCATTTCGTTTTCTTGTACATGTAATAAAGTTGAATCTAATTTAATCTACTATTTTGATGCATGAAAACATTTGATAGTAGTCTACTTTCTAAACATATACATGATAAACAGGAAAAAACTGTCACTGATAAACTGATAAACTGTCTCCAAACTGGAAAAGACTCTTAAAACCGCACACCATCTTAAAAAAAAAAAGTGTAATGCAAGAAAAACCCATAATAATCTTACTGTAGACAAGCAGAAGGGAAAGTCTGGCAAGTGTGAATAGAGATGAAAGCTGTATCTTCTGTGTGAAATATAGTCGCCGAAGACTCCTATCAGCTGAAATTATTTATCGTTTCATCTTTTCATCCTCTTCCCTCAGGTTGTAATTTGTCATAACTTAAAAGATGATATCCATCACCTTTGACACGTGGAGAAAATTACGTAGTCACTGGGAGTTATTGATGTATGTGAATTAATGAAGCTAGAAAACAGAGCCTCACCTCTGAAATGTTGAGTTCAATCAGGATGAATAACTATCTAGACATGAACCGCCTCCTCATTGCCACCACAAAAACCTTATGCAAATTCAATGTCTTATGTAATACGTGACTCCGTGCATTTGTGTTATCAGATGTATTAATCAGTGTTTTTCATTTCCGGGGTTGTTTATGTTGCATTTCGAGCTCGACGATTTGTGATTGTTTTTTTTTTTATCAGATGCAGAGAAGATATCAAGATGTGTCCAGAATCAGCAGAAGACCTAATTAATATCTTGAACAAGTAAACCACATCAGGTGAGTTACGGCAAGACACTGCAGTCAAAATGATCTGTCAATATTGAGACAGCTGAAAGTGACATTTAATGAATTAACTTGCTTAATTAGGTTAACTAGGCAGGTTTGGGTAATTAGCCAAGTTATTGTATAACAATGGTTTGTTCTGTAGACCAGTGAAAAAAATATAGCGTAAAGGAGCTAATAATTTTAACCTTAAAATGGTGTTTAAAAAAATTAAAACTGCTTTTATTGTAGCCGAAATGAAAAAAAAAAAGACTTTCTCCATCAGAAAAAATATTATCAGACATACTGTGGAAAAAAAATCGCCGTTAATCTATGCTTAAAGTTGGGTTGGGAGCTGGGTCTATTCTACGTAAGCTATGATGACTTTCACTTTGATATTTTAGCGCATATGTAAACCTGACCGGTGAGCCATCTGACAGTGTCCTTCTGAATCAAATCAGCAGGATGCCTGACTTTAACTGCAGTTCGGCAGTTTCACTTTAACTCATGAACATTTCATTCATGCCCCTGTCACAAACTGGAGACGCAAGTAAGGACTGGTGAGAGTGTTATGGAATTTATTAACGCACGCCAAAAGGAAAGAAAAAAACTTCCGCATTTCGCAATGTGTGATTTTGTGTTTGTGTGCGGTTCTTTACTGACAGCTGCATGTGTGGAGCTTGTCAGAAAATATGGTGAAAAGTCCTACATGACGGTAATAGTTTGATTGCGGTGTTTACTTCAATAATGCCACTAATATATGCACACTCCACATGTCTTAATTTTATTTCTGTTTAGTTCAGTTATGACTTTAGTTGGATTAAGGTGATTACAAATCTTATTGAACATCATTTATTTTTTATCACCAATTATCATAGTAGAACAGTTTCTCAAGCAGTTTGTGATGCATTTTGAACACAGGAGATGAGCCCCTGGTCTAATGCGCCACCTGGCTTGAGAAACCCGTTCTCAAAGACTTATTATTTGGGTAGCACACATATTCTGAATGCCTTTGTTAGAATTCAAATGAGCCATTTTTATCTAGATTAATTCAGAGATTAATCTAGATTTAAAAAATAATAATAATCAATGCCCACCTATAATATAATCAATGCCCACCTATAATCTCGACTTCAGCAGCTCTTGCATACACCAATATTCATATCTTTATTTTAAAGGTTTTAACAGAAGGATTAGTTCATGCATGATTTGCTTGCTTATATAATATAATTTTATTCTCAATATTTATATTCCATTTTCTGCATTATGGAATGATGAAAATAGATTTCCAGCATTCCCTCTGTAAAACATTTGACTGTTATATATCTAAAAAAAACTGAACCCAAATGAAATGTATACAAATTATTATTATTATTATTATTAAGATTTATTTTTGGCCTATTTTGCCTTTATTAGATAGGACAGTAATCAGACAGTGAAGTGGGAAAAGAGGTTGAGATAGGGTTGGGAAATGTCCTCGAGCCATGATTCAAAATCGGGATGCCCTGAAGTGCTACAGCACCATATGTCGGCACACTAACCACTAGGCTTTTGCGCCGACTGTAAACGAATTATGCATGTGTAACGAGATGTTTACATATTTAAATATAATATTACAGAAAATATTTTATCCATACAAATGTTTGCCATTCTTAAAGGTGCCATAAATTTCAAAATCTGGATATACCTAGGCATAGACGGATTATACATTTATTCAGCGCCACCAGAACTGCCATAAGTTCTATTTAACTGTTATTTTAACGTGTATATTGTGAAGTTTGCAAAGTATGTTTGTATACTGATCTCTCAGCTCTTTTTTCTGGAGTAAAAGGATGCCAAATAAAGTTCAAACACTCATCTGTTTGATATTAATAACTTTTTATATGTGTTAAAAACACAAAATACTAAAAAAACAAAACTCTGTCTGTCTGCCCCTTTTGTTGAGTAAAATGATCATTTAGCCTATATTCCATTCAAAAACACTCCAAACCCAGGAGCAAACTTTCATTTCATTCACTAACTCACTCCTAGCTAAAATAAACCTCTCCACTACTTCAGCTGAAAATATTGTGACTTAAGAACAAATCTACTCAATTTGATGAAAAAATAGTTTGACAAATGAAGTATGATTGTTTTGCAAATATTTCAGTGTATCGTGGTGTGTGCGTGAGGGAGAGAGAGAGATAGAGAGAGAGAGGAAGAAGTGTAGTACTAACATTTCATTTTTTCTCTATTCACCTCCAGTGTCTTACCTAAAAGAGCACTCTCACCTCTCATACACCCCAACATGGCTGGAGTCGCACCCATCCTCCTGTTCCTGTTAATCCCTGTGGCCCAAACGACCCCCAGATACGCTCCACCGCTGGCCGGATCCAAGCGGGAGATCATAATAGACGGAGACCTGGTAATCGGAGGCCTGTTTCCGGTGCACGAGAAGGGAAAAGGGACCGAGGACTGTGGTAAAATTAATGAAGAGCGGGGGATCCAGAGATTGGAGGCCATGTTGCTTGCGCTGGATGAAATTAACCAAGACAACCGTATCTTGCCCGGCTTGAAATTGGGAGCCCATATACTGGACACCTGCTCGAAAGACACGTATGCACTGGAGCAGTCGCTGGCGTTCGTGAGGGCGTCTCTCACTAAAGTGCATCAGCCAGGCTTCATCTGTCCAGACGGGTCAAATCCTGTGCCGGATGAACTGCCGCTGGCCATTTCTGGAGTGATCGGAGGATCGTATAGTGATGTTTCTATACAGGTAAGGTAAACACTAAACACAAAGCGTATCATTTTCATATTGATTCATTCAGTTCAAGTACTAAAATGACTAAAAGGAAATCTAATAAAAATGACAAATTAAACTACCAAAACTTTTATTTTTGCTGTTTTCCTGACAGTGATTGACCAGAAACAGAAATGCCTGTCTACTTGTTTTTTTAAAGGGGTGGCCCAGATTGTCTTAAGACTTGATTGTGTTTATGGGGTGCAAATTAGTGTGTGCTTATGCTTTATTTGTTAATAATCACCCTATTATTTCACATATCTTACCATAATTTTCTACTATTACTCTGCTAATATAAAAATAACTATCATATTTTCTGGTTCATCCAAAGGCCTGCCCTCAACCGGCTCTGTTTGGTCAGCTAACCTAATTAACCTATATGTATCTTGTTGTTGTCCCCCGAACTTCACTATGTGAACTCTGTAAAAGTCGGTCACTGCGTCCGAAAATGCTTAGTAGGTACTGGATTATAAGTAGGTATGAATGTAAGCAGTATGAATGAAACTTGAATGTACTACATCCACCATTTTGCATGTGACCTACACGTGATCAGTTGTATCGCTTCACTCCCATTCATAAATTCTCTTGCTGTGCATCATCAGATACACACTTCAGAATCTAGCCAGAAGTAGTAAGTCATTCGGGTACTTATCGCATACTGTTTTTTGAATTTTGAAGTATGTTGCATGTTTTTCCCTGCGATGCTGTCAGGGGCAATACAGCAAAGCTGTTTGTGTGCAGCAAGCATTTTTATCGGAAGATCAGTAGGAGAAAAGGAGAATGGTGGGCGTTGTCTTTTATCAGGAGTTCGTTCACAATAAGACAAATCGCCTTGCTGCTGTGTTTGCCTAAATCTTCTAGATTACCAACAGGGCTAATGGTTAAAATAGACAGGGCAAGAGACCTGCTGCACTGAGTCTGCATTCAGACCCGGGGATTGAGGGAAAAGTCCTTATTTATAGTGTTTATATAAACACGATTATCTTTATAATGATAGAAATTGTGGTTATCTGTATATGAAAAAAATGAATAACACATGTAGCAGGACATTAAATTACTGTTTATTTCTTTGCATTTTAACTTTGTAAACTATAAAATCATGCGTCTCCTCACGGTTTGTGTCTCATTTTGTGAGCTGACAGACAACAGTTGTCCACTCCCCTCCTTCTCCCCTGCTGGCCACGCCCACTCCTGCCCTTTGCTCGCGGAGCTCCACCCCTATTATGATGCATCTTTTGAAAAAATTCTGAGGTAGACCTAAACCGAAAGTGAGGGGTGTCATGGCCCTTTAAGCTGTATTGAAGTGTCTTGAAAAAAATCTAGTCAAATATTATTTACTGTCATCATGGCAAAGATAAAATAAATCAGTTATTAGAGATGAGTTATTAAAATGATTATGTTTAGAAATGTGTTGGAAAAAAAATGTCTCTCCGTAAACAGAAATTGGGGAAAGAATAAACAGGGGGGCAAATAATTCAGAGGGGCTAATAACTCTCACTTCAATTGTATATGTCATGGTGTTTATGATTTCTTTTTATTCAGTACAGCATAAAACATCATTTTTAGCTTAAACCATTTACAATAAAGTGCAAACAACAACTAAATAAACATATTTAGGCATAAAAAATACCTGTGTATTAAAAAATACCAATACAATGCCTGTGTGTCGGTAGCCATTGACTTGCAGGACCACAGTTTTAACTATAAAATGTTCAAATGTTTTACTGAGAGAATAAAGTCACCTACATCTTGCATTTCAGGTGAACTGTCCCTTTAAAAATGCTTGTTTTATGCAACTGGCTGCAATCTTGTTTTTTTTCACAGATCCATGCCTCTTGCAGTGTAATTTCAGTTCACTGAACTCTGAAAGGTGGCTGCTACGCCCCTGCACTACATTTGGTTCACTTTGTTGTCTGAATAAGCCCAGACTATCATTAATACCCTTTCTCGACTTCCCACAGGGTTATTTGCATTCTCACTCACAGACATGAATTTGAAATATGAGCAGAATGTGTTATCATAGCAGTAAGCATAACACACAGAGGGACGCACTTCTGACCGCGTCTCTTTTTTATATACATTACACTCAAATCCTCCTTATCAAACCACAGCAACATATACATCCGCCCATTGCTCCGTCAGCACAATACAAACTGACCTCCTCCTGAGCGAAGCACCCAGAGACTGTGAATCTACAGCTTGTTAATTATGGTTCTTTGCCTTTAGGCAGTGATTAGCATGAGACGACTGAGTGCTAATTGCCCTACACTCACGCTTTATACGGTCGGAATTGTGGCTTAATTGTTGTATCATCTGTGCTGGAATTTACATTGCTAACCATAATACACATGCTGGAGACATCAAAACTTGCACTATGACATTTTTTGGGTGCAGTTTTTGTTGAAAACGGTGTATTCATGTACCCTTAAAGGTGCTGTTTGTAAGTTCTTGACTCTTCTAAAGCATAAAAAAGCTATAATATGTTTGCAGATAGTTTCCCAATACCAGGTTGCGGCTCGAAGGGCATCCGCTGCATAAAACATATACTAGAATAGTTGGCGGTTCATTCCACTGTGGCGATCCCTGATAAATAAGGGACCAAGCTGAAGAAAAATGAATGAATGTTTACAGATTTTTAAGAAACATGCTAAGTGAACATACTTGTTTATCTCCCAGTTTACCCAATTATATTTCGTCACCTGGGTTGCCTTGGTGGAAAACATTGTGTTTCGTTTCAGTCATGAAGGCTGTCTCGGTGTACCTAAGCATGGCCTAAAATGCATTATAGCAACCTCCAAAATAAGATGCAGACCTAGTGTTATAAATATCTACAGGAGGTGGTATATAATTAGCAAATATAATAATATAATATAAATATAATATATAATATAATATAATATAAATATTACAAATATAAACATTAGCTGGGCAGCTTACATTGTAAGGCACAATTGTCAGGCACACTCACTTCTGTTGGTGTCGCCAATCTGGCAACCTGCGTTTATGTCCAGTCACAGTTTGAATTTGGACTGCAATAGATGGTGCAGCCACTAGTCCTTTGTACTGCACCTTTAAATGGGTGGTCCTCTTTGATATCATATTTTGAACTTTAGACAGCATCTCTGAATGCAAGACGGTCAAAGTTCAATGCAAAGAGAGACATTGGCTCAGAGTTAGCTTAGCAAAGCCTACAGCGAACAAAGATTGTGGACTACAAAAAAAATACATCTGGGTTAGTGAGATCACAAACGCTTTAGGTTACACGCATGCACCCTTCACAGCAAAAAGGGTTGGCCAGAGGCGCTGTAATGTTATAGCAGAGAAAGCTAAACTGCTGTCCAAACGCTGCTATTTCCACAGTGCTCATTCTGTTTCTGTATTTGAGCTTCCAGAGGACATGACACGAAAAGAGAAGTTCTTACAATTTAATTTTAATTATGTTTTAGAGAATTATAAAAACTATATGGCTAGCATTTGACAAAGGACAGCTTCCAGAATCTCTAACAGTTCAGTGTTGGATTCAGCTAAAAACTCCTCAAAGAAGGAGCAGCTCCAACCATAATAGACGAAGCTGTGAATTGTTAGCCACAACCTGTAAGTATTTTTATATGTCAAAATCAACACAATCTCATGACAATTCGTAACTTTTTGATTTAGTGGCTAATTCGTATAAATTCGTACGATCTAATTCGTACAATTTAGTACAACTTGCTCATCCCCCAATGACGGTTGGGTTTAGGGGTTGGGTTAGGTGCCAAAATTTATTTAAGGAGGTTAAAATTTATCTGTTACAAGCACAGTCTCTAGCGTTAGCGATATGTTGTAGCAAGGACATAAACAAGGATGTAAACAACGAGAAATGCCACTAACAATTTAGCTAAAAGTTCATATTTATCTGCCAAATCTGTCAAACTGATGTCATTAGAGGATTGTCAAATGCAAATCAACAAATTTTAATGAAAGATTACAAGAAAAACACATAATAATTAGTGGATTAAATGTCTCATGAAATTAAACTAAAGATTTTAGATGTTAGTATCAGTATTATTAGTATTTAGAATATCTATAAGTCACACATATTTTAATCTTTACATAATCTCTGATAACAAAATCACATGACCTTTTTTAATGCACATACTGGAATTTGTTCGGTAAAAGTGTTTCCATCATAGTTTATGCGCATCCTTTCTTATCAAACAAAAGGTTTATCTTACTCAGTTTAGGTGCTTACGTTTTTTTATGTGCATCTTGGCGTTTCCATCAACCGGTTTTATATGCGCATATCCAAAATGTGCATAAAAATAGGTGGATGGAAACGTAGCTATTGCCAATTTTGTTTTCCAAACAATACAAAATATCTCAAATTGAAAGAATTTTAAAATAAAAACGTATTTAACACATTTATAAATATGCTATTATCAGCACCATATATAAATAATACTAAAATAACAACATTTTCAACCCAAAAACAGCACTTATTGAAACTACAAGGTGCTAAAAATAAACACAGACGTGGGCTCAAAAAATATACTGATTAAATAAATGTAAAATTATGATATTTCTGACCTTTGACATCACAGTTCCCATGTTTTAAGCAACTGTCCAGATAATCCTAAGCATGTATGGCTGCAGAAATCCTGTAGATCACAGGTGTCAAACTCAGTTCCAAAAGGGCCGCAGCTCTGCACAGTTTAGTTCCAACCCTAATTAAACACACCTGATCAAACTAATTGAGTCCTTTAGGCTTGTTTGAAACCTACAGGTAAGTGTGTTGGAGCAGGGTTGGAACTAAACTGTGCAGGGCTTCGGCCCTCCAGGGATTGAGTTTGACACCCCTGCTGTAGATGAAAAGTAGAAGTAAAGTTTAACCTCACCACAACAAACCATTTGCTTAATAATAATAGTGATAATAGTAAAAATATTAATAATAATAGTAATATTAATAATAATAATACTTACTTTTATAGTAAGTCGTT